CGCTGGAGTCAGAGCTGGAGGCGCTGGGTGCGCGGGATGCGCTGCTGCGGCTGCTGCTGCCTCACAACCGTCTGATGTCGCTGCCGCGGGCGCTGGGCAGCGGCTTCCGGCACCTTCAGCTGCTGGACGTGAGCGGCAACGCGCTGACGGCCCTCGGGCCAGAGCTGCTCGCGCTGCGCGGCCTGCGTACGCTGCTGGCCAGGAACAACCGGCTCGGCGGGCCCGGCGCGCTGCCCAAGGGCCTGGCCCAGTCGCCTCTCTGCCGCAGCCTCCAGGTGCTCAACTTGAGCGGCAACTGTTTCCAGGAGGTTCCTGCCTCGCTCCTGGAGCTGCGCGCGCTGCAGACCCTGAGCCTGGGCGGCAACCAGCTGCAGAGTATCCCGGCGGAGATCGAGAACTTGAGGAGGTGAGGGTCCCTGCTGAGGGGTGGGGAGGCCCGGGCGGCACTCGGGAGCCCTACGGCGCCGAGCATTTGTCACGTAGCTTTCTTTTTCCAGGCCCTTTCTTCAGCTGGCTGTAACTGCCAGGCCGTCTCAGAGAGGTGTAGTTAAGATCTAGTAGGATTGCGTGTTGTGACCGCGTTTGGTGAGTTGTGTTTGGCCTGTGTAGATTTTCGAGACTTTTTTTTTTTTTTCTTTTCTGTTTTCTTTCTTGGATCTGGGGCGTACTCCGAACTTGTACTCAAAACAGATGTAAGTCAGAGGTTGTCACGTCCTTCTGGCTCAAAAGTCTTCGGTGTTTTTTTTGCATGCCCACAGATGAAAGGACATGCCTTCTAACATGACATACGAGGATCTCTGATCTGTCCCTTTTCACTGCATTTCTTGCTCCCTCTTCTCTATAGCAACCAACAGTACCATTTGTGGAGTCAGTGAGCCCTGCACTTTCCCTTGCTGGTGCTGGCACTGGTAGGCATTTACTAAGTATGCGTTGAGTGGATGTACTGCCTCTGTACATGTCCCGTTCCTGGAATGTTTTTTCTTCTGGCAAACTCCTACTCATCTTTCAAAACTTATCTCAGGGGTCGCCTCTGTGATTTCTTTCTTTACTGCTCCCTGCACAACAGTTAATTATTGCCTGAGCTGCACTTTCTCTGTACCTCATTCATCTTGCCATCGCATTTACCTTATTGAATATAATTCCTTGTTTACAGGAATTCTCTGCCTCATCTACTATTGAATCTAATGTTGGGAGGAAGCAGAGGAGCAGGAAAATATAAATCCCTTAAAGGTGCCTTGCAGGGGGGTGGGAAATAGAGCAAGCAGACTGAAAAGTTAAAAAGAGATCTCTTCCATCTATAAAATGTTTTTGCAACCTTTGCTGCATTTTTAGAGATAACATAGTGTTAGAGGTGGAAGGAAAGAATATTGGACTCCGAATAAGAACTCTTGGTGTCCCAGCCTTAGGCAAGTCACTTAATATTTTGTAAATATATCGTCCTAATCTGCAAAGTGAAATATTTGGACAAGATATTGCTTCATTTACTCCTCAACAGATATTTACCAAGTACTTGGCATGTGTCAGGCACTGTCCTAAGTGCTGGGAATACAGTGGTGAACATGATTCTACCCTCTTGGAGCTAACATACTAGCAGAGGAAACATGTTAAACAACTAACTGTAAACCTCATTAATTACAATAGTTGTAAGGTCTGTGAAGATGCACAGATTGCTTCATGACACAATAACAAAGGGGTCTGACTTATCTTGGTCCTTGAGCAAGTGACATTTGAAGTGAGCATTTGACAGAAGAGTAAGAATTAATTGGAGAGTGGGGGTGGTGCGATCAGTCCACCTGGAAGGAACAGCACATCTGAAAGCCCAGAGGACAGAAGGAGAGTAACCACTAGAGTTCTGAAAGGACATTGTACTAGGAAGTGAGCAAGAGGGAAAGTGACAAATACAAATTGGGCTAGCTGAAGGCTGTGGTAAAATTTGGATTTCTTTCTTAATGCACATGGAAGAGTTTTAAGCACATGTGTCTTGCTACTGTGCAGAAATGGACTAGGAAGAGGGTGGAGAGACGAGAGGTTAGAAGGGGAGGATGTTGTAGTAGGATGGGAGATGATGGTGGCTTATACTAGGGTGGCTTATACTACGAGAGATGATAAATAGAAGGGTTGGAGAAAGATTTAGAGGTAAAATTGACAGACTTTGGTTCCTTTTACTTTTAATGTTATATAATTCCAACCTTAGAATTTTTTCAATATGCTGAGAAGAACCCAGGGACAGTATTATTTCCATCATATGGGAACAAAGGCAGGCAAAAATTCTATTTATTGAATACTTACAATGCGGTAGAACACATCATAGGTGCTCTTCATATGCTTTTTATTTCTCACAGTGATTCTATGAGAAGATGTACTCCTTTTTCAGAGGAAACTGAGGCTTAGAAAAATTAAGTCACAAAGCCAGTAAATGGTATTTGACCTGGGATCTCTGACTCCAAATCCATGAATTTTCCAGTGGCAGAGTAGGGCTAGAACCTCAATCTTTGTACTTCTGTTGTGTGTATGTGATCAGGATTTGTCAAAGTAATTCTCCTGGTTGGCTTGATTTTCTGGGCTAACAACTGTGCCATCTGTGTTTATTGGTCATTGTGTCTTTGACTCTAATAATATGTGTTATCTTTAACATCAGTGTTTTCATTCTGTTTCTCTTTACTGATAAGAATCAATAAAAGTTTAGGCCATGCTCCAAATATAAACTGTGATTGAGTATAGGCTAAAAGGGTCATATAAAAATAAATTCTTTTTTTTTTTTTAGTTGGAATCTCATTCTGTCGCCCAGACTGGAGTGCGG